TGAGAGATATCAATAGAGTTAATTTTAAAAAAAAATTGATAAACCTATGAAAATAGGATTTACATATAGAATCAACAAAATACTAATTAAGTTCTATATTAACGATAAGAGGAGTATAATAATATTTGAGCAACTTGCATTATACACAAGTCATGTACATGCCACCTGTAGTTTTAAATTTTGTGCAACATACTAACATCATCAAAGCGGTCAAACCATAGCTTCATTCTATGCGAACATCATCATCTGCTCCAGAAGTCTCATTAAAAGTTCGTCTAAATTTAGAAACCTATCCAACAATGATATGTACAAAATAGTTGTTGCTTATTTAGGAAATAAACTTGAAATTGTCATCTTCAATCTTCTGTGATCTTTTTCTTGCGCATAACATGAGACTTTTTTTTTTAAAAAAAATATTTCTACTTCACAATATTGAATCGATAATCGTTGATAGTTTGGACATTCTACTTGTTATGGATAGAAGTTCCTCAAATTTGAATGAGAAGTCTCAAGAAAAGTTGCTTAGGAAATTCCATCGCAAAAATATATTCTAAAAATATATCCTTTACAATAATTATATTTATATCATAATTACATATTCAAAATTCTTTAAGATAACCAAACATGCCTATTGATGCAGGCGTGGTTCTCTCCTTTTTCGACCTTATTTGCCGTGTCTCCATTAGCTTCTTTTTGAATAATACTCCTCCGGTCCTTAATATAGAACCAATTCTTGAGTTAGTTTTAGTCCTAAATATAAGACCCATTTTTTATATTTATTAACTTTCTTTAAATTACCCATATAGATACTCTTTCAACCATAATCAAGTAGAAGAAGAGAAGGGGTATTAAGAAAAATGATTATGGTGTTTTAGGAAAAACGTGTCACTTTTTTTATAATCATAATTACTAACTTACCAACTTTCTTAATCTAATCAAATTAGTTAAATGGGTTTTATATTAAGGACCGGAGGAGTAACAAATAGACAGAAAAATTATAAAATCTTAGAGTTTGTTACGAGTAAATAACTGGTATTAGTAAATAATCATATTTTGTGAAAATAAATAATTTAAAATTTTATAATTTTCACGGATTTTCTTGTTAAAAATTACTTTTCGGATATAAGATTTTTTTCTACACTTAAATGGTTAATTTTTTATTAAATTATAATAAATATATAATATTATTTGGGTTAAGTTGAAAGGTCCATATATTTTTTCAAGTACATCCAGTAGCTTAAGATATTTTGTCATATATCTAATTTTGAAGTACTTATTTGTGTTCAGATTCTAAAATATTTTTGGGCACCTAACACTAAGACAAAAATAATATTTTAGGGTACTAAATATATCTAAAATATATCTTAGGGTACTGAATAAACTCAAGAAAATACTTGCAAGATCTGAATACACCTTAACACTATTATTTTTAATTTAGTTATTATGTTAGCGGTTGAACTATCGATCTCACCGATTAAACCATAAAAATCATTACCATTATTCTTTTCAGTTCTTTATCGATATTCTTTATTTGTTACTCTTTATTGTCTCTTTTTAATTAACAATAGAAATATATTAGCTTTTTTTTTAATAGGAGCAATTAGCTTATTTTAGGTTGAGTGGATTTAATTATTAAAAAAATTTAAAAATTAGTATTATATATTTGAAAAGTGCAACTTTTCAGGACTTTGCGCGTACTTCTCGATTTTATGAGAAATTAAGATTCAAACTCTTTTGACATAAAATAAGACATATTCCTCTATTGCATCAAAAAAGCAAACATAATTTAATGTGCACTTTGTTTATAGCAGAGAGAAAAATAAAATGTCATAAATATTTTTTTTTTTTAATAATTTTCTCCCAACGCTACAACATGTAACAGGTTAAATAAAAGAAAATTAAAAAAGGCCTACAAGGTTAAGCTGTTTTTTTCAACTCAATTTGTAACTGGCCGTCGCTCATTCAACCTGGGGACATGAAGCATGCCTGTCTCCTTCTTCCCCCATTGTCTTAGACGAAGTTGCAGGGCAAGAACCGCAGCCAAGAACTCCACACACTGCAATGGCGTCAGCAAATCCAGCACTCCTTTCAGTGTCTTCAGCCTCACGCAATCCGCCCCCTTCATTGCCCTTTCCAACCCATCCAACACTCCCTTCACCGCCACTTCCCCCTCCGGCCAGCTGCCACCCCGGGGCCGCCGCCCTCCGCCCTGCTCGAGAGCTTCGCCAGCTCGACCATCTTATGGTCTGCCATAGCCACCTGCAACCTCTCCATCTCCCTCTCCACCTTCTCCTCCTCCATCCTCATCCTCATCCTAAGCTCCTCTATCTTCCTAGCCTGCTCCTCGCTCATACCAAACGACGCCGTCGCGAGACTCCGAACCAGCCGGAAAACCATGGAAGGCTTCCATCCGGTGATCCAAGAGGAGGCATTCTCGAGAGGAGTGAGCCAAGTGGGAGCGAAGAAGGGAAGAACATCTTCACGAGCTTCAGCCCATTTCACGGTATAATATTGCTTGATATGAGTGGTGGCTGTGTTCACCAAATGCTGAACGTTAACGTCGTGTTCTTTGAGAGGCAGCATTTGGGTTCTGAGAGTGGAAAGTTGAAGAAGGTGGTGGAGGATTTCTTCGAGCTTGCAGAACCAGGTGTGATAGAAGTCATGGAACCTGTCTTGGACTTGAGATTTCATTATTGTATTGAAACATATAGAAGAGGAAGAGGAAGAAGAAGAAGTGAGGTTAGTTTAGTGAAGTGAGTGAGAGGGTATAAAAAGGAGGAGGAAGGAGGGGGGAAGAACAGATGGAGAGAGGAGAGAAGGCCCGGAAGGAAGAAGAAGAGGTGGAGAATGGATGCATGGCTTACGCGCAGCAAGTGGGGAGTAGTGCGTTACTGGCTGTGTTTGACGCTTTGCAGTTTCCCACAGGTTCATCTCCTTCATACATAACTCTCCACTTCCTAGGATTTTCTTTCATAGATGGATTAAATTTCATCTATTTTTTTAAAAAAATCCTATACAAATCAGGTTAATTAACCTGAGTGATGAGAGTTTGTGTGATTTAAGCAAATGTTTGGAAGTTGAAATTCCAACATTTGTGTATATAACAACTCGGTAAAGAAAAAAAAATCTATATTTTGTTCTCACGTTAACATATTTTTTGGGAAAATCGGGGAAATCCATCATTAAAAAATTAATTAGGATTAGTCCCTAGAATCATGATAAGAACTAAATCCTTGGAAAGGGAACTAGTTTTATTGCTCATGAACCGTTCAGATTTAATATGGACGGTCTAAATATTTTTTTTTATATTTTTAAAATTTTTCTTTTAGTAAATATAAAATCCAAAATAAAAATCATATCTTAATTGTTATTTTTAAAAAATAAATCTTAATTTAGAAATTATCAGTTGGAACTTTTAAATCTAAACTATTAAAATCATATCTAAATGATGTAGATCACATCGTAACAATGAGTATCATAGCACTTATCAATACGGTGAGTACTGAAACAGGTTGTCTTAGAAAGAAGCAGAGAAATGAAAAAAAAAATATGAAATGATGAATTTACCCTTAATGAAAACATAAAGTTCATTTGTATATTAGAAAAGTTCGTTTAGGAAAATTCGCATGATAGAAAAGGTAATTTACACATAAGGGACATTAATTCGTACATAATTAAGGGAAAGTAATTTCTACACAAGAAAAGTTAATTTACATATAAGGGACGTAATTTGTACATAAAAGAAGGCAATTCACACAATAGGAAATTAAAGGTGATTTGCATATTGGCCAAGTTTATTTGCATATAACAGTTCGTTTGCATATTAGGAAAGTTGATTTTGCACAATAAGAAAATTCGCACAAAATGAAAGATAATTTTTATATAAAAAGGTGAGAAGGTAATTTGCACGTGAGGGAATGTCTCATTTGCTCAGTTAATTTGAACTTATAATTTACACCAAAATGTCATTTATGCTCATTAAGAGTAGTGCAGTCATTTCATATGTAAATCTATTTCTGATCAAGGCCCTGAATCTTTAATATGAGTCTGGGAACAATTTCCCAATTAATTTTTCAATATAAGCCTTTTTTTCCCAGTTTTCCTGAATATTAATTTGACACAATATTTTAGGGTGTACTTTTTCATGTGTTTGGAAGGTCCAAAAATATTTTTAAAAGTACTTTTTCATAAATTAAATAAATTTTTCACATATTTACTTTGTATACTATAAAATTACCTTTAAAACTATTTTTAATTACACTCTAGACCCTTTCAAAATAAATAAGGTAGACCTATATCTGATATGTTTTGTTTCATTATAAAAAGGGTTTATTTTTTATTTTATTAAAAATATGTTTCCATAAATAATTTTTTGATTGTTCACATAAATATTAATGTTACTTTTAAGTATATTTGAGATAAGAAAAAAAAATTATTTAACTAGGATCTGAAGAATATCTGGAGCAGAACAGAGCAGCTTTGAAAGGAGCTGACCATTGACTACAGTGAACGGTCGGATTCAATTTTTTGCCAAGTTGTAGGTTTGGCTTTTGTTGACGTCGAAGAGTTCAGAATCAGATGACGAGGCCACCCATTTTCATGTGCCTAGGGTGACACGTGTCGTGCCATTTGGTGAGGATAGTTGAATAGTTTTTTCTTAAAAAAATTGAAAGACAATTTATTATTTTCAGCAAATTTTAAAATTTCAATTTAGTCGTTAGTCGTGTGTGTTCAAATAAAAATTTTTATTATTTAGATAACTGAATAAAAATTTTTAAATTTAAACGTAATTTTGTGTTATTTTTCTAAGGAAATATTTGGTCGTGGTTACTTTTATGAGTCCTTAAACCTGCAGGTGATACCGTTTAAAATTACATTTGCCTTTTTGGAGCAAAGGCGGGGTCACAGTTTAGAAAGAAAACTTTGAAATCCTTTTATTTAACGATCTTATTTAGGATTTGTATTTAGATTAATTCTCTCGGGCCTAATGACTCAAGTCTTAAACTGTATGCATGTTCAATGTACTTTTGTTATTTTATTATTTTTTGAATTAAGGTGTAAATTTGCCCTAAAAATTTTTACTTATGAGCGCCGGTACTCAAAAGTTTTTTTTGGATTTAATATTGTATTGGAAGTTTAAAACCATGACAATTTTACTTCTTGTCATTAAAAATATTAATAATCCATATCAATAATAATATGAGGCAAAACTGAAACTATTTAAATTTTCCAGACAATATTGAAACCGAAAAAATTTTCAGCTACCCAATAATTCTTAATAAAACTTTTTTAGAGTAAATTTGTACTTTAACGCTTATTATTTTTTAATCCCAAAAATGAAATCATGGCATTGCGCTGGGATCTGGATGTGATTATTTAAATAGTATAAATGCATATACAACTGCCACTGATTTTAATTTAAGTAAGTCTTTGTTTAAAAATTTTGTTAATCAAGAAATACCTGAGTTCGAGTATTTGTACATTTTGCGTATAAAATAAAACAAAATACCCCGTACTTTGTGTAAACATAATAGATCCATTTCACACCGGTTAAATTTCCAAACAAACTTTTCACCAATTTTCTCTGATTTTATAGATATGAGATCTTGAAATATACAATAGCGTCTTTTAATTTAAATCCTCACAATATGCGTCACATAAACCGTGCATCTTAGTCTAATTTCTTATTTTAGAGCCAACGATATTTCTATATCTTCTAGCTAACTTGGATGTCTTCCACGAGTTTGTAATTGGGAAAATGATATAAAAATATTATAATTCAGGCACTTAAAAAGTCAAAATCTCAGGAAAAAAAGATGATGCCTGATATGATATTTTGTAAATATAGTCAAATCACTAAAATATTCTTGTATTAGACATTTTAAAAAGGAAAGTTATCAAACTTATTATTGTCAGTACATTTCTTGTTATTAGTTATTCAACACTTATTATTGTTAGTTTATAACTTATTAATAAATAACTTGTTATTATCAATATACTTTTTATCATTTACTGTTTAACACTTGTCATTGTCAGTTTACAATTTATTAATAAACTTTTTGATATACGGGCATTCTTGTCATTTAACTATATTTGCAAAATACTAGACTAGGCATCACTTTTTTATCTGGAATTTTGACCTCTTCAATGTCTAAATTGGAATATAGTAATTTTCAACATCTTTTTATGTCATTGTCCTTTTGTAATTCTCGATGCTTTTGTCCTTGCTGCCCATCCCAAGATTTAATTTATATCGAATGTATTTTGATCCAAAGATTCATTTGAAGTATAATTGATCTAAGATAAACAATTAATATTGGAGCTCTCAGCAAATAGGTCGAGGTTCAAATTTCAACTCTTTATTTACGTAGCAATTTAGTCGGAAAGAGTTTATTCTTTGCACTCAGTATGAGATATTCTCTGCCATGGGCAAGATCATTAAAAAAAAATGGTTAAATTAGTGCATGTAATCATTTTTTCAAATAATAAAAATGACTTTTTTGCGGCAACCAAAAAATTTAGGTGCATATATATATATATTGGCAGGTATTTCAAAAGTAAAAATGACACAAAAATGACATTTAGATTTGGAAATCCTTATTTGATCACCTAAATAATGAAAATTCCCATTTAGTCACACATAACCAAATTGCGATTTTGAAATTTGTTGAAAAGATCAAATTGTCCTTTATTTTTTTATTTTTTTAAAAACCATCAAGCACTCTCACCGGCCTCCCTATCGCCGAACCTTTAGCAATGGCAGCCATTGCCGGAGTTCAGGCATGCCATCGGTCGTTTAAACTTCTGTGCTCGGCGACGACCAGTCACCGGAGTTCCAGTGACCGGCAACTATTTTTTTAGAATTTTTTTAAGTCTAGTAATGCAATTAACAAGTTCGTTACAGCATTTAACAAGTTTTTCAGAAAATTCAAAAATTGACATTTTTGCAACTTTAATAACACAGTTATAAGGTTTTTTTTTAACTTTATTAACAAGTTCAATATAGTAGTTAATAACATATTTTTCAAAAAATTTAAAAGTAATATTTTTACAATTTCAGTAATACGATTAACAAGTCATGTAATGACATTAACAATTATCATAGCCATTGACAAAATTTTCTATGAAGGTTGATGTTTTTAATATTAGCTCCTTATAAAGATTACACAACAAATTTTTTTCATTTATTAGGCAATCACTATATCATTATGCTTGTTATCAGAGTGGTTAATGGTGTTATAAGAGTTGTTAATATCGTTATATGACTTGTTAACCGCATTACTAAAATTGTAAAAATGCCACTTTTTGAATTTCCTGAAAAACTTGTTGTTAACTATACGAAACGTGTTAATAGCGTTAAAAAAAATTGTTAACCGCATTATTAAAGTTATAAAAATGCTAATTTTTGAATTTCCTAGAAAATTTATTAAATGCTATAACAAACTCGTTAATCACATTTAAGAACTTGTTAATTGGATTATTGGACTTAAAAAACCCCAAAAAAATAGTTGCTAGTCCCCGGAGCTCTAGTGATCGATCATTAGCCAACCTCCGGAGCTTAGGTGACCGCGGCAGCTCGCTTGAACTCCGGCGGTGGCTGCTGGCGCCAGAACTTTGAAGACCAGTCGACTAGTGATAGTACTTCATGGTTCATTTTTGAAAAATTAAAGGGTAATTTGTTCTTTTCAGCA